GTCAAAGGAGCCCCCATAGGATTGGCAATTTGATGGCCTTGCATGTGATCATCCAAAACAGGAGAAGGAGAGGGTCCATCACAGTTGTTGCCATTGAAGGGGACCAGACCACCATCAGGAGTACTGGATCTTGGAGTCTCATTGGAAGGCGGTGTCACCAACTTTCCTTCCGGGGCACCTGTGCTTGCCAAGCTCTCTGCACGGAGGACCATCAGCTGGAAGAGTACCTTGCAGTGATGCGAGTGAGCAAAGTCCACATGACAGAACGTACAGGGAGACAGCATAGATCCATGCCAATGCTGGTACAATCCAGAAGCTTGGGCTGCCATGGATGAGTGCTCCAATGCCAAATGATGAGTCATGTCCTGAAAACGTAGCAGCTGAGTTCCACAGAGAATGCAGTGACTGCGGAGATAGTCCCCAATGCATGGATTCAGGCTGAGACCAGTGGGGTCAACCTCCAAGATCTGTGGTAGCAAACTGGCACGTGCATTGGCCAGGGAAGTCGACATCACCTGCAGCGGGTCAAAGAGAGGAAGCTTGTTCAATATGGGTTCGAAGTGCACTCCAACATGGAAACGAATGATGGCAATGCCTGCAAATGGACGTTCCGTTAACAGAGTCTTGAACAGCAGAAAAGACCTGAATGCGTTTGTGTTTGACTCCATGTGTGAAACCCTCATGAGTCAACAGTGCTTGAATGTTTGAGAACGCCACTCCACACGTTCTGCACTCGAATGCCGCAGGAGCCACTGTCAGATCAGGGCCTCCAGTGGTGTGTTGCACAATCTGTTCAAGCATAGACCGTGTTCCTGTAAGGTGGAGCTGGTGCAGAACATCCGTCTGAGGTCGAAGCCCAAGTTTGGCAGAATGGCCAGTCAGGATGCGCAAACAGAAGCGGTGAAGAAACTGAAGTGGGTGCTCAATCTGATTCTGCTGAAAAAAGAGTGTATGTGAATCTCTTGTCCGATGTGAACGATTCATGTAGATCATCCTTTGCATGGATACCAAAAGACTCACCAGCCGCTTGAGCCCAGCCGTTGTCACACCAGTTGCCCAAATGCCGTATGTCATGGTTGTGCGGACGACACTCTCCCAAAGTTTCCTTCTCTGTTCTTTGTCTAACCCTTTTTTGCCATAGAGCCATCGATGTAGGCGTCGATTTGCCTGAAGTCCAGCAGCCACCCTATGCTCCAATGTGAGTTTTTCAAAGTTACCATAGCTCAGCTTGCATCCCAAATATTTGAGGTCCGCCACCAACTTGATTTTAGTGGCCATCCCATTGGAGCGGGGCACAAGCAAGAACCATTGGTGTGCTTGCTCAACAAGGACGCGGGATTGAAGTTTCTTGAACTTCTTGCCAACAATCTGAAACAAAGCCACAGTCTTGGTGAGGTTCATGGATAGTCCTGTTGTGTCCAAAATATCAAAAAGAATCCCAACAAAGTGCAGGTGATCCCACAAATCTTGTTCACAAGTGATCTCGCATTGGAGAAGGAAATCATCCGCATACAAGGTCAGGACTTTGAGAACCCACTCAGGACTGGTGCTAGCAGCAAGGCGAGTCATGAGTCTGGACATGCTACTTGCCCACAAAAATGGTGCGGCGCGGCATCCCTGTCTGACACCCAGCGCAACATTGACATGGTCTTGATGGCCTTTATGTTCCAGCCAATACCTTGTACCAACATGCCACTCCTGCAAAAGAGTCACACAAGCCTCATCCACTCCTAGCTGACGTAGGCCATCAAAGAGTTCCGGTCGAGGGAGACTGTCAAAAGCACGTTTCAAATCAATGCTGATGGTCAGCCCTCCATACAGACTCGGACTCGGAAGGGTCGAGGCAAGACTTTGTGGTCTCCTCATTCGATGGAGGAGAGCACGAACCTTCTGACAATGTTCAGCCGCCCTGCTTATGGCCTCATGTGTCCCCCGATGAGGAAGGTATGCATATTGATGTTGTGCACACAGTTGATCCAACACACTATTCCTAGCAACGGTGGTGAGAAGGCCAAGAATCGTGGTCCCCAAGGGATCTTGGAGCGCAAGAGGCCGCAAGTTGGCCGCATGATCAGGAGATTTACCAGGCTTGGGCAGCAAAAAGAGTGATCCATCTTTCCATTGTTGGGGAATGAACGGGGGATTATGTGACCACCAACTAGTGAGCAAGGGGTAAAGTTGAGCCGTCGTCTCATGAGGGATGGCCTTTAAACACACATTAGGACATGTGCCCGGTGCAGTGCTCTTCATGATATTGAGACGCGCAAAGGCTCGCGTCAGTTCATCCTCAGTGAACGGAACACCTGGCGCCGGTCCAGTCGGAGACTGCAACTGAGGTCCAGCCCATGCAGTACAGACAAAATGCTTCAAGTGTGCAAAGGCCTCAACCGGACTCAACAACTCCCCGTGATTACCTCTAAGGTTAATTCTTGGGAGGACAACTTTGGGTGAGAGCTTACGTACAATGGCATGGAGGGCAAACAATTCATGTCGGGAGGCTGCAAATCGAGCCTCAGAGATCAAATGATCAAAACGATCCGTCCTTGCCTGGCGTGAAGCTAGTTGCTGTTGCACATGGCATTGATGATGTGCAGTGATCAGTTGCCAACATCTGAAACAGCTAGCAAGACCAGGACTAGTCAGTTTACGGATCTGCGCAAGGAGGTCCCACTTAGTGGCCATGAGTCCTTTAGTCTTGTGCCAAGGAGCCTCAACAGTTTTCTGACGATTAAACATCTGTTGAAAATTGGATGTGAGGCGATCTTGTGTGTGTTGAACATCATGCACATCAGTCCAGCGAGCCTCAGTCAAAATTGCCGTGTTGGCAGTAAGAAAGGTGCTCCATCGAACTGGATCCTGCTGTGCAGATCTACACATGACACGACTTTGGTACGTGATGCGATTCAGTGCCACTCCACATGAAGGGCGCCAGGCGAGATTTAGTGAACCAATCAAAGGACGGTGACCTATCTTAGCAGTGTCAAGCAAATCAAAAGATTCCAATGGCATACATTCAAGCGTTTCTCGATCCGATTGACGTGTCCGAACGAAGATGTAGTCGATACGCGACGAATCACCTTTGGCTGTGAGACAGGTGGATCCTATATCTTGTCGCCAAGTGTTGATGGCACAGAGATCATGCGTTCGAACAAGGTCAAGGTGCTTGTTCCAGTCCTCATGTAATGAGACCAGTTGACGGCCAGTCGAACTCAAGAAGTCAGAAGTTCCGATGTGAGGCCTGGCTTGAGGGAGACCACAGTTCCAATCTCCAAGTAACACAAGGTTATTCCGTTTGGGGATTTCGTGAAGAAGGGAGTCAAGTGATCGAATCCAGTGCATCCGATTCTGCTTACATGAGTATTTGTTGACATAGACATGTTGATAGCAGCCAATCAGGTCAAGGGGCCTGTCTAAGTGTACCGGAACATGGACCAAGCGTCCAGCAACGATCGACCTCCAACTGACTTGGCTTTGCTGGCAAAGGGTGGTACGAATCATGAAGAGCATGCCACATGAACGAAACGGATCCCCACTGCATGCTATATGAATCCAACCACCTTCAATCCATTCTCGATCAAATTGCCAGCGGGTCTCGGAGATGAGCACCACTTGGAAGGGTTGCTCAGCCAGCCAGTATCGAAGTTCATCCAATTTCCAAGCCGCCAGGCCCGTGCTGTTCCATGCCAGGACATGTATCCGCTTCCTGAGGTCTCGCTGAAAGGATCGAGGCTGGGTCGATTGGGTGGGTGGTGCTATCGACGAAGGAGGCACAGAGCATCCTAGTTGAACTCTATCCAAGAGTTTACCTCGATACCAGGAAAAAGCCATTACGAAGAGCACGGCCTTAAGCCCTACGAAAGCTGCGCTTCGAGTGGGGGCGCGTTCGCTTGAAGGTCCCCCAACAAACCGGCCCGATGCCATGGATTTTCGCAGAGGGTCCATCAACTTCAATCGAACGAAGGGAGGTCTCTGCTCTCAGGTGAGTCATGGCCCTCACCCAACCCTCGCCCCTACTGGGAGTGAGATTCCGACAAAAAGGGGTCGAAGCAAGGCCACCCAGCCCGTGGACTTGGGACCACGGTTGTGGATACTCAAGGAAATGAGTGGGGATCAAGGCGCAATCCAACCGACACAAAGGTGCTTCAATGCGACGGTGGCCGCACAGGTTCGTGCCAGATCCAATGGGCCGCGCAGGCAGCAGCTGCAGAAGAAAAGGTGTCGTCAGCACCAGCCAAGCTGCCAGCCACTGCATGTACACGAGTCACGGTCGAAGACACGTCAGGATGATCCTCAGCATCCTTGTCTACAAAGGGGCTTACAAACACGCAACAACAACAACAACAACAACAACAACAACAGCCACCACAACCCCAAATCCAAGATGACGACGACAAAACACAATGGTTTAACCAACCAAGCTCGACCTACCCAAAATCCGCCATCAAAGCACCAGCGTGTTTGGTGGATATGTCTTGTATGTTGCTTATGTGGAAGGTGTAGGAATGGCCCCTTGACCGGCTTTGTGGAATGCCTCGACTACCTCCTCCCCCCTTGCCCCTTTTAGTTGGTTTTTGGCTGCGGCCAGCGGCCAATTATACTCAACCTCTGTAACTAGTCTCACACTGAACTGTACATCAACGACATTGTTGTCGCTTATGTGGCAAGTTCAGCACCATGTTTGTCGCACGACCAAATACTGAATTGGCAACCGCTAGGTTTTGGTGGTGGCTCGGATTTTGATGCATAAAGGCAAGTGAGAAACTGACACATTGGAAGAGCACAAGGAATGGCTAGTAGGCACTGCAAGTGGCAAGCTATCTTGGGTTTCCTTGTGATCAAGGGCGCAAAGATCATCAAAGATCTCCAAGAGGCAATGCTGATCATTTCGCCTGAACACCAAAGCAAGATCCACCCAAAAAAAATATCTATATATATATATAAAGAGGTTAAGAGGTGTCCAAAAAACACCTGTTGGAAGGTCCTGGTATATATATTATTCCTTTTGAGACACGCGGCCGCTGCCTTTTTTCGTCTCTGTGAACCCCATCGGAAGCAGCGCTCGACTCCACTCGTCGCCAGCTTTGGGCGAGGTCGACAAGCCGCGGAGCCTCACTGAGTGGATGTTGGGCACCAACCCGGAGCCACACCGAAGCGGTAGGGTTCTGAACTGAAAAGGAAACTTCCCAAGAAGAAACTCTAGGATTCCAACCAGCACTGATTTAATGTTCTTTCCAAACAACCAGCTTGTTGCATCATCTGGATTTTAGACTGTCTTGAACTACAGACTTCTTTTTTGATGATCTTGGAAGGTTAGGGAATCAAATTTGGGACTCCCAACTTGTTGGCCTGCTTCCACCACTTCAAAAAACATTACATATGCTAAGCTTCTCCCTTTCTTCGAGGCTTGGAAGGTTAGAGAATCAAATTTGGGACTCCCAACTTGTTGGGCTGCTTCCACCACTTCAAAAAACATTACATATGCTAAGCTTCTCCCTTTCTTCGAGGTACGATGATGCAAACCATGGCGTTGAGACCAAGCTCCAAGACTGAGCACGTTCGAAAAGGTGTTCCGCAGAGCTTCGGCTTCGGCCAAGGTCAAGTGCATGGACACCTGAGCGTGAGGACGATGGGATGGGGTTGAGGCCAGACGGTCTTGGTGGGTGGTAGTGGGCAGGTGGTGGGTGGGTGGTGGTTGGGATGGCTTGTGAACAGCCTTTAAAGGGACTTGCGAATTACAGTAATCTATGAAGGACTGCTGGGTCTTTGGTGCAGCTGCATAAACCTCATTGGTTTGTGGTACGTTAAGTCTAGGATGCAGTTGTAGTATAAGTTAGTCACACTCTATGTCTATATCCACCTAACCCTTCACTAGGGTAGGTTCTCATGAGTTCCCCCAAAAACTACACAAAACTGAATCCCCAGTCTCATCCCTCAGTTCCCACACCTATATACATTATTATGTTGCCGTTATCTATATAGTAGATCCATTCTTATACTGTAGAAGAATAAGAGCAAATGAGACCCATGTCTGCATCTTTGTGCTTCTCAGACTGCTCGACAACATGCACTGCTAATTGTATATTGTATATAACTGAGTAGCAGTCCTCGCGTTGGACAAGGTTCTTGCCGCAGAAAACTGGGTGGACTAGCTTGAATTGGATTCAGGAACCAAGGAAGAATTGTCTCCAGAAGGGACTTCTTTAGCAAGCCCAGATTAGGGTTCATTCCCAACCACAAGTTGTCCTCCTCGAATTGGGCTGAAGTCGCATTGACCCCTCGAGCCATGCTACCGGTAGAGCCAGCAAAGCCTCAAAAATGTGACTTAGCTGTATTAGATCCGGTAGAGATGGCTCATCAGATCTCTTTGCAGCTACTTAGCTCCTCTACTGGTAGAGACCATGCTACCGGTAGACGGAGCTTCCAATGGTGCAATGATCAATTGACGTCTGTGCCCATGCTCCGGCTTCAACTTCCTCGAAAACGCATGTACTGTCCGCGAGTCCCCGCTGACAAGGACCGCAGTTCAACATGATTCTCCTTAGGTCCCTAGAGACTGGAACAACACATGAAGCTAGGTGAACACTTGCTCCTAAGACCACAAACACAAGTTTTTGTAGCGACGGCTTCGACACATGGCCACTGTCCAAACGCGAAAACCTGGGCGTCGGGCAACCCTGTCCCACCTCGACGGCGCCCGCGCTGCCCAGCTGCTGTCGTAGCCCGGAGCCGTTCATGGCCCACGTCGATGGTGACACCCTTCAACGGCAGGATCTGCAGAAGGAACAAGCCATACGCCACTTGGAATGCCGGTTTCGCTGTCCACCTCCCCCCTTCGGGGGGGAGGCATGAGCTGTCGAGGCACCACCTTATGCCTTCCTTAAACCTCTATCTTGCTCTCTGCAGGCCACAATTTTCGCAAGCTTGACCAACGATCCCAAAGAGCTATGCTCTCCACGACTTGCCCTCTGGGCTGTGGCACCAGTGCTCGGTCAACTGTGCACATTGCAAACTTCCTTGGGGTTTTGAATACGGTGAGTCCCTCACTACTGTGACTTTATCTCGTCTTTGTAAGCACTCAAAGCAGCGGCAACGAGCTGGAAGGAACTTTGCGCCGTAGGAGTCTTTTTCTGGACAGAGTAGGCCAGCAAGGAGCAAACCTCATACCTGCATTCACTTGAGCTCACCGTTGACCAAATTGCCTCCACCGAGATCGTTGCAACTGTACTCACTGCCCAATAAACAGGAAGTTAGCTACCTGATGGTCTTCATGTGAAAACACAGTAGCAACGCGTCCTTTTCGGTCCCGCTCCTTGAGCCAAAGTTACAGTCATTTATAGACTGTCTTCAAATGTCCTCTTAGCTTCTTAGAAGCACATCCACTCTTCTTGAAAGAGTACATGACTGTACCTAGTCATCTCCAAACTACACAAACTGCAAGGAAACCACATCAAACAGTCTCTAAAGACATCGTGCTCTACCAAAAGGTTCTCTAAGCAGTTCCTAGCCACAAGTTGCCACTTCAAACATCCTCCTGCTAAGGTGGTCAAAGGTCAAACACAAAAAGGGCACAGACCTCCACTCAGCTCCAACCCCAAGCACTCCAAAAACGAAGTTCCCTAAAGAAGCAAGCACTAGGTGAGCCATACACTGTACACGTGCGCTGTACGCTACTTTTCACACCCCTTCTTGGGTCGCCTAGGGCTACCTGCCTTCTTCTTCTGTCTTCTTCTCTCCTTCTGTTCGTTTTGTTGGAGCAACTAAGGATCAGACATCAACTAAGATCCAAACTTCTGCCCTCAAAGGTGATCTCAATGACATCAATCCAGAGGTAAACTCGAGCTCAACCCAAGCCAAACTCCAGATCCATCAAAGAATCAACTTCGACCTTCAACCAACACGCATTCAACCAAGGACAAACGTGCAAGAAGGATCTCTCAGAGGTGGGTCATGGAATCTCATGGGTTGATTCCTTATTTCATTGACCCTTTTAAACCTCTTCATCGAGATCCTCAAAAGCACAAGGCTTTCAAGGACAACCTGTCAGCTCAGGAAGCAAAAGGTGATCTAGAGTTACCATGCCGTGCAAACCTCTGACCTCAAGACCTGACAAGTTCACAAAGTTGACATCAACTACAAAAGATGAAAACTCCCAAGGTTACCTAGACACAAACTTGCAATGAACAGAGCTGCAAACAAGCACAAGACATCACAAGAAACTCTCTCTAGAGGTTACCTGGTCATGAACTGGGTTCCAAACATCCTGAATCAAGTGAACTCGTCTTGCCACAGCAAACTCAAACCCAAAATCACAAACCCTTTGCCACACTGCACGTGTCTAATTCCACCTGCCTTTCTGATCTGCCTTTCTCTTTCTGTTTCCTTTCTTCCTCTTGCTTCCTCTTGCTTTCTCTTGCTTCCTCTTGCTTCCTCTTGCTTTCTCTTGCTTTCTCAAGACAAGATAAAATCTTCAAACATGAACTCCCCAAGCAACCAGCAAGCAAGACACGAACAAAATGGCCTCCAACTCATATTTCCATAGATTCAACCAGACATCACACGTTCAAGCATGCCTCAAGCCAAGGTCAAGCCAAGTTCAAGCATGGTGGCACATGATGTTCTGAAAACACAAGGAAACCCTAACAAAGATGATCTTCTTTTTCTTTTTCGTGGTGCAAGCTGCTGGGCCGCGACAATGGCCTTCTAAAAATCACGCCATTTCTCTGATGGCATCTCGCCTGTCAAAGGCACTACAAGTTAGGATCAGACTGCCATCCTTTTGGGACAGTCATGACAGATCCATCAGCCAATTTCACTCGCTTGAACCCTGGGGCAACAGGATCCACCTCTTCAGTAGGCGTGCTGGGCGTACCTTCTGAATGAGATCCCGGCCACAAAGGGGGTCGTGGCAAGGTCGTTCCCGGAATCCTCGACAAAGTCGGAGGTGCCGCTTGGAACGCAGCGGGCACAGATGCAGTTCCAGGAGTCCCCATGGTCATCGGAGCTGGTGGAATTGGCTCAGGTGTCGATGTCTGTTGGGCCATCCGAATCCCAGGCTGGCGTAGAGCCATCTTCTGACCCTCAATGAGTTCTTTGAGAAGGGTATTGCTTTCTTTCATGGTCGATGTCCCTTCCTTGTAGCTATCATTGAGCGCCACAAGGCCCTCGTACATGTGCTTCAAGATCTCAAGGGATTTGGCGGTGTTGGTGGTATTCTCACCGATGTTCTTCCCCTGGCTCATCAGTAATTCTTTCACACTCACATTGATGAGCTTGGCGCCGGAGCCGCTGATCTGCCAGGAACAATTCTCCATCTGTTTCTGGAGAGCTTTTATTCCAGCCAACATCGGTCCGGCATTGTCGCCATTGACCTTCACATGAGCTGTCAAAGCTAGCAACCCTTCAGATAGCTTTGCGACAGTGTGGGTCTGCTCAGTCATGGCTGGTCCAAGGCTGCTGGCAGAATCGCAGATTCTCGTAGCCGACTCTGAGATTTGACTCAGAGCTTTGGAAACTCCTCCAAATCTATGGGTTGCCCATACCAGGGTATCTAACAAAGCCTCCATTTTGACCTCCTGGGTAGGCGGAGCAACGTCCGCCGGAGAGTCCTCCGTCGAGCGATCCACTTCTGCGTTCGAGAGCTGCAACAATTTTTCAAAATAGGCCCATGCGTAGACCTTGGCTGCTGCTTTATACAACACCAATTTCTGCTCCATCTCTTGGACCTCTGATCTCAGCTCCACCAAGGATCTGCCACTGTACTCGTTCAGCCCTTCTGGCCCAGTGGCTGGAAACAGAGTGGATGGGTCCACTCCGCCCACTTCCTGGCTTGATAGCTCCAAGGTCATATGCTTCAGAGCATGCAACTTGCCTTCGTGGTTGGATCCAGCAGTATGCCGGCGGGATGCTTCACAACGGAAGCAATTCAGGGTGGTCTCCTCCAACAGGTCCTGGCTTACCTCCAAGGTGTCGAATCCATATTGGTTCAACTCTAGGAGGCTGACTCCCATCAGGTCCCGATTTTCAAACAACACACTGCGAAACGTCGGGGGACCTGCCGCCACAATGCTGGGCAATGGGTTGGCGCTTGGATCAGTGGTCATCGTCGATGATCAAAGGATGGCGAGAAAAGGCTTGAAATCTCACAAAGCTTGTTCAGGCAGCTTGAGTTGATACAGTTCCCATCTCAAACATGTACAAAACAAATCACAAGCCACAAATCTCAAACACCAAGTCTCAAACAGATTACCAAACTCGGTCTCTTCAAGATGACTACTAGCAAACCGTGAAACTACCAAGAATCTTCCAACCTCAAACTGCAAACTGGCAAACAAGGCAAACAAAACACATCTGTTCCACACTTCTCACAGCCAGATTCAACTCAAGCTACTATTGCTCTAGTCGTCTCCAACTGCAAAAAATGCCAAACTCTCAAAACAAGCAAACACACAAGACATGCTCAGCAATCAAGTCCCGCTCAAGCAACTATTGCTCTAGGTCCACTCAACTGCAAGCATGAAACACTCAAAAACCTTCTCTGCGCACAGAAAGCTTTCAAGTTCACTCGTTTCCTGGCCTCGTTCCAGTCTCCACCGTGGAAGAATTCCTGTCCTTGAAAGAAAACGGCTGCGGGCATCTATCAGTCCACCTTAGACATAGGCAAGCACAAGTGCAAGTAGGAAAAACAGTACGTCGTCTCGATTTCCTTAGGAAAGAGGTAGCTATCCGGAAAGTCGGTCAAGCAAAACTGGATTCCAAGGCTCCTGCTGTCCAAAAACATCTTCACCAAAAACAGCATTTCACACACAAGAAACTTGAAAACAAATGCACAAGACAGCTTTGAGCAATTTCACAGTGAATGCTTCCAATCCAGATTCCAAAATGCACAACTGCACACGCATTCAATTCTGCAAAACTCAAAACACTGCACCACAGAACAGAAGGCTCCTAAATCAACAAGAAACAGTCCTCCTACACCTCCGAACCTAGTCGGACCTCAACGACTGCTCTCGGACACGTCCTTCCACTACAGTTCTGTCACCGCGACAAAGGTTCCAAATCTCCGTGCTACCAAGACAAAACAAAACAAAACTCCTTTGAACAAGTTCGGACACAGACGGACAACAAACGGAAACACACAAAACAGATTCAGAAACTCTCCCAAGTCAAAGTGCATCTCGAAAAAACTGTTCCGGAAAAAGCACATTCGACAAAGTTCAAACTTCAGCAGGCACAATGCCCAAAGCTTCCGTCACCTTCCGATCCCCAACGGACGAAAAATGCAAGAAACACGCACGATGAGCATACTCCCCTTCTCGAACTGAACGTTCACCGATCGGAAGTTCGTCGTCATCGGCGTCTCGAGACAAGCCCCTCAACAATGCTGCCTTATCTTCATCCAAACCAGGTACAAGTCCTACAGCATTACAGAGGTTCATCCACATCTCAATGAGCTTGCAACTCTTCGTGAGACCGTCGGACGGGTTGGAAACACCTTCCCAATGTTCCAAGGTCAAGCGGCGTCGTCGATGGAGGTATTTGACGTAGTGTGCACGCAGTTCCATGTGCTTGACACGTCGGAGCAAACCTTCCATGGTCGATATGGAAATCGCCGCTTTCCCATCGTTGTACAAGTGAAGCTTCATGCTGCCGGTGGTCTTGGCTGGCATGCCTATCTCGTCAAGAGGAATCCCATCACGAGCTGTCTCGATCAGCATCCCCAGGGCCACAAGTTCTTTGCTAGCCTCCGTGATGGCGATCGCTTCTGCTTCTGCAGACGACAACGCAGGAACCTCTTGTCTCCTACTGAAACACTTCAGGCAACATCCACGCCAAGAAATGACAGCACCAGAAACATTCCATGAAGCATCACAAAAACCTACAACGACCCCTTCTTCAGTCAAAACGGGTGGTGAGCTAGCAGGCATCTGCTGCACAAAATGCAAATGACCCTTCAACCAACGAAGAAAGCTACGAAGACAAATCTCTGCCGGAACATGGGGCTTCGACTGAAATCGACTCAAAAACCCAACAGGAAAAGCAAGGTCTGCCCTGGAGAGTGCTGCCCACGCGAGCTGTCCCAAGACTCTCCGGTAGCGCTGTGCTTCCGTGGCGGACAGTTCCGGAGTCCCGAACTTTTTCTCGGCGTCTTTTAGCAGCTCCTCCAGTTTGGGCATGGCTGAACCGGTGGATTCTTTGAGCTTCTCTTCCCATGAAACAAAGATGCCTTCCATGTAGCTTCTGGAAACTCCAAAGTACAGACATTCCTCGCCGTCATGGCGTCTGTATATCGTGCCGCCTAAGAATTCCAGGAGTCCTCTCTGCCCGGACGGAATACTTCCCGTGCGTTTGATCTTCCAGATCTTCTGAAGTGCACGCAAGAAGTTCTCACCTCCTTCAACGTCATTACTGGCTGTAAGCAAGTCGTCAACATAGACTAGGGCCAACAAGAACTGGGCGTCAGTCTGCAC